CGTACACGGCCGGATGCTGTTTGCTTTCAGGAGCTGTCGCCTTGAAATCCTTAGGAGAAACGCAGGAAGAACGCATACTGACAAACTTAAAGCAAAAAAAAGCAAGCGAGAAAAAAGAGAGAGAGAGAGAGAATGTGCGTGTGAATGCGCGTGAATGCGAGGAGCGAGAAACGAAAAGGAATACGAGATCCGCGTTGTTATCGCGATAACGCTCGCGCAATCCGATCACCTCACTATCTGTGATCCGAGGCTCGCCTTTGAACGGCGAGTAATACGAACTAAAAATCGATATTAAGCTATTAAGATTACGTAACTCGCGCTCGTGTCTGGAGGTACTCGTGTCCCCCGTCTGAAACCGGCGCGGAATTCTCATCCAATTTGGACGCCGTTTCGTCGCCCGCGGGGATCCGTCACGCGGACACGCGGAAAGCCCTCGGCGGAGAGGAGAAAGGGAAAAGGGCCGCGAGAGAGAGAGAGAGACACGTTCGCCCCCTTTCTTTCCCTCCTTTCAATCGTCCACCCCTTCGATGGACCTCGCGCCGAATATTTGTAAGGTTTTTACAAAGCGAAAAGCCGCATCGCGAAGAACGCCCTGCGCGCGCGAGAAAGAGAGAGAAAGGGGGCTCGCGGTCCCGCCATTTTTCCCCGGGCTTTCGACTTTCGAGACTCCGTAGCGACACGAATGCCTCCAGCCATCGACGACAGTGTTTTTTCCCCCCTTCTTACCCCTCTCATCTGCGATCCATCAGGAGCAAGAAAAAAGATATATAGCGGAACGCGGAATGATATATAGCAGACGCGTTGAGAGAAATAAAGGTGCGAGAGAATGAACGAGAAAGAGAGAAAGAGAGCGAGAGAGAGAGACAGAAGCAATGGTCCTGCGACACAACACTAATGTATACGATTTTTCAACACGAAAATATTATATATTGTAGCTATATATATAGAAGTATATATAAAAGAGGATAGTATATAGGCAACCATAACGGCTAAATGAATCATTGTAACGACGATGGTAATTAGTGCGGCGAAGATGATGATTATTATTATTAGTTATTACCTAGTTTTTAATTTTAATTATTATATTATTGCCATTATTATTATCATTGATATTATTATTATTACTATTATTATTATTGGCGGTTCTCGCATTGTGATAATCGCAAACTGTAATTGTAACATCATGATGATAAGTATATATGGGTTATTAAAGTTTTATCGTCGGCTCGAGAAAGAGAGAAAGAAAGAGAGAGAGAGAGAAAGATGAACGTTTCTTTTCTTCTTTTGGTTCTTCACACCTTGGTCGGAGCCACGGACTTTTTCTTTCGCCTTCTTTCTTTTCCGCCTGCCGGTTACGTCCGTTTCGTTTGTCGTAATGAATCGCGGATGGATCATTTATTGCCTAGCACGTAGGTAAACGAGGAGGAAGAAGAAGAAGAAGGAAAAAAAGGATATCCCATTCTCACATTGTATAAACAAAGCCGAGGCGAAGATGGGGAGTTTACGAGTATCCTCCGAGCGATTAGGTGGTTAAACTCTGTTGTTAAATGATATGTCGCGAGCGAATCGCTCGGCTAAAGATCGGCTGTCGAATGCAAGTTCTCGCGTCGATTCACCCTCGGATTCCCCGTTTCAGTCGCGCCCTGCCCGAACGTCAAACCTTCGATAGCGATACGCAGATTGTCGGATCGACCGCGCGCGGCACGCGTACAGATCGTCGTACGAACGAAGAGGAACCAGGCTGGGGCAAAAACGTACGGTCGCGAGCGAACGTTTACGACGAACGCGAACGAGCGTAACGGCTCTCTTCGTCCTCGACGAGAAGCGGAACGTGCCGGATGTAAATCTAAAATTCGTTCGCGGCATCATCCCCTTCGTTAAAACGAATTATTCGCTCGCGTTTGTTCGCATTCGTTCGCGCTCGTCCGCTCAGACTGGATCCGACCTCGCGCGTTAACGATCGTGACTCGCTCGTTCTCGAGATATATCTGGGTTACTTATTGTTTCTTTTTTACACGTGAGCAACAGCAAAACACGACTAAATCGATCTTGACGTCGCGTAACGATCGCGATTGCGACGTCGGGGATTCGTTCGCTGTTGGCGCGTCGCGTCCGACGCGAGCAAGCGGGTCCTCGCGACGATCGTTCGAGATCGCGCCCCCCTCCTCCGGCCCTTCTTCATCTCCCACCGGTCTCGACGGCCGCCACTATCTTTAGCCGAATCCTTCGCCGATCGTGCGACCAGTACAAGTGCGTTCCGGCACAGCTAGTATACGAGAAAAAAAAAGCGCGCCCGGGGCTTCGCTGTAAGCGCACCTCCGGGCGTCCCTTTATAGGCTCTACTCTAACATTTAATAAATGAAAACGGTAACAAAACGAAAAAGGAAAAAAAAAGAAATACAGATCGATAATACCGACGCGACGTGCGAGATAGAGAGAAAAGCGTGTGTGCGAGAGCGAGAGAGATAGAGTGACGAGAAAGAAATAACGTTTAGCGTAATCTACGAAAATACGCGCGGTATAAGATATTATATATTTATATCCTTCGTGCGCTCTTCTCTTCCTCTCCCCCATCCCCCTTCAGACTCCCCGGTGCCCCCCCTGGTCCCTCCGTTTCTCCCTCGCCCGCCATCCCCGTCGCTCTCTCGCGACTGCCGTCTACGCGCGATAGCAGAGAGAGAAAGAGAGAGAGAGAGAGAGAGAGAAAAGGAGGCAGATGTAGAAATAACGAGAGAGACGGGCCAGTCGTACACGCTGATAATAATCCGCTGATTGTTAAAACTGCTGATTTGACTGTCCTTTTTCCACCCTCCCTCTGCTCCACCTTTTTCTTTCCTCTCCTTTTTTTTCGCCTCTCTCGTAGCGTCTTCGGTGTCACGGCGTTAACTGTCGTCACTCAAACAGCCAGCCATCCTCCTCTCCTCTCTGTACCACCAACCCCCCCCCCCTCCCCCCGCCCAGTTCCCTGACCGTCTGCCCGACACTCTCGACCAATTTACCCCCGATGATGTCCCCCGGTGTCGCGCCCACAGAGACGACGATATTTTTGGATTGATTTCTTCAACGTGTTTCGACAAACGCGAGCGCGCCTTCTCACTTCGCCTGTCCACACACCGGAAACACACGTTCACACACACACACACACACACATACATAAACATATATACACGCCGCGCGGCTGTACCCCGCCGCCGCGATTTCGTATACGCATTTTCGTGACGCACGATGATCTCAGAGCACAAACGTCCGTGCGCGGAAGAGAGAATGAGAGTGAGAGAGAAAGAGAGAGAGAGAGAGAAAGACGATCGTCGACGTTGTGGCCCGAGAGACGACAGTATACCACAGAAATCATTGTATCGATTCGAAACATTATGATAAACTTAATAAAAGGATCGAAAAATATACAACGCGTCTCCGATTGTCTTCATCCTCCCCCCCCCCCCCTCCCTCACGACCGTACCATAGTCTCTAAGTAATCAATGCGAGGTGTCTCAATTTGTATCACTTTATTATAATATCAATTATGACAGTGAGTCCTAATTTTAATAATATACAGTTGTGATTTATATCGCTATATTGTTATCGTAAGCCGCAATTCTTCTTCCCCCCCCCATAAACTTATATTAACTCGAAGTTCGAAGGTGCGATGAACGTAATATATATTTATATATGTATAGCAAATATGTTACATCAAAGACGAAGTCGCGTCGCTCCACGAACCGTCCTATACATTACATTACAGCTCGATTAATACTTCCGTTCAACTTTAACGCTAATCTTAAACTCCGCTTTTCTACTCGCCCGCTGTCCCGCCGCGAGATCTCGCGATACGGAGCGCGCAGTGGCAGATGGAAAGAAAAAATAGAAAAGGAGAGACGGTAGGTGAATTGCACATTCCGCATTGCCACTCGAATTCACGACTCAAGCTCGATCGCGCGCGAGGATCGGGGGACGTACATCTCGCTGTAACAACGCGACGCCAGACTTCTCGTACGGAGGGTCCATCGTCGTCGATCGGCTGCCATTCGCCGCAAGTAGAAGCGGCTGCCGGCCATTTCCTACCATTTCGGCGAGGACGCAGCGCGAGACGCCTTTCTCCGTCTCGGCATTTAAAAAAGAAGCGCGAATATTACTCCATTACAAACGATAGGACAAGATTACGAAAGCTACATTCAGGGTATGTACAAATTCTCAGAGTTCACGTATGCACGTGTATATTTTTATATATATATATATAACTTACACGCGGCGTCTCTGCGACAGTATCAACATGTAACACGCGTATATTATAATATTATAAGATATATAATATTACATATATTACATATATTATAATACTACAACGTATTATAACATCATAATATATATATATATATTATATTGTAATATATGCATTTAAGATACATCTAATTCGTATGTCACAGATATAAAATGTATTACGAGCGTCACAATTTACAAAAGTCTATCCCTAGAACCAGGTCCCTTTCTACTTGCGGCCAATGGCAAAACGCGGAATGTTCGCACGCGCCGGAGAGAGATCCGCTACCATCTTCAAAAGAGAAAAGCAATTCATCGAGAATTCCGCACTTGCGACGGTATTACGGTTTTACCAGCGAGAACGAACCGACGGTATCCTCAACGAAAGTCTCTAAAATCGCCGTGAACGATCAACGGTATTTGCACGCGTACGAAGCGCAGGGCGACGACAGATTGAGCCGAGTGAAGAGCCTCTACCTGCGAGGGTACTCGCTCCTCACCGAAAAATATACATCTTCCAGGACATTTATTTCCCGACGGAGGCGACGTCCCCGCGTTGCAGGGGGAAAGAGTCCGCTAAGAACCATTCCGCCTGTCCCGCGCTGGGATCCTTCGCTCTCCCCTCATCGACACACTCGTGACTAATTGAAATTCCTCGCGGAGGCGGACACGCACCTTACAAATCTAACACGATTGAACCGGTGGAAACGCGATATACGAACTCATCTCGCGCTATCCGCACGTTGATGGCAGTTGCGTGTTTATTGGTGTATCAATATTATCTCGTAATATGTAAGCCCGACGTCTATAACAATAACATTCTTGTACATTACACTTAACGCGCTATTTCGCCCCCCCCCCCCTTTATCCCCGATAAAACTCTCATATTCCTAACATCTCGTATTTATCGGCACTCTGCGATACCCCCCCTTCCTCCCCGTACATATAAAATCAGACTTGGAATTACAGCGCATACCGAGGCCGTGTTGTAACAAATCCTGCGATATAACCGAGCTATATGATTGACGCTACGATTCTCCCTCTATCGTTATACATTTACAAGACGCTCTTCGAAGCGAGGGATTACTTAATTGTAACTTAGATAGATCTTCTATTACAAGTTGCACAGGTAAAAATATCAACCTCGCGCCTCGCTAATTCAGACCCGCTCGCGGAACTCGAGTCGTCGCGCGACATCGGGTCCGTTACCGACGACGATTTACTTACAAGCTAGGTGAACATAGTAAACAGGAATGCACTCGCGCATTTCCATAACAACGATCAACGATGGGTAACGGCGCGGCAAATGCGTGGGTAGTCACCCGATGGAAATGCGCATTATAAGAATAAACAGAAAACGGAAATCGGTACGTAACTGACGAACAAATTCGTTGCACCGCAATAACATTCCGCGAAAATTGAGCTGGAAAGTAGCACGGTTCTTTTTTTTTTTTTTACCGAAAAGCGCGCAACGGAAGCTTCTTTACAAAGGTTTACAACTCATTAAACGCGCTCGGATTTCATTGCCTACGCCACCGTTGCGCCGCTAAAATTGTCGCTTGAAAACCTCGCTTTGAATACACTTTAATCAAGTAATAATCTAATTTGACATGATAAATATAACAGAGAAACAACTCGAACAGAATTCAGAATGTAAAAATTTATCTACACGCAACGCAAACATATGAAGAACGTGAGGGCGCCTAGAGCGATGCTGTCTTCCTGCGTTGTTTGAGAGAGATTGGGTGCACCGTGCGCTATCACTTAAAAAAAACATGTACTACCGCTGTCACGTTCTCTATACGGCAATATTCACATTAAACACAACTGCAGCGTTAAAAGAAACCTCCTAATTTAAATAACAAATTATTTCCGCAAGCGGCCGCAAAAAGTTATCGTGGATGATATCTGCTGGGTGGCATGTTCCTCACCGATCGATCCTTCATGTCACTCGGGTTGAACATCATTGGTCCCTAGAAATGGTCCTTGGTTTAAAAGCACAGAAAGTTATCAAGGCGCTAACGTTTTGAGTATAGTAACGAGAAAAGCAAGTCCTACGTTCTTTTTTCCTCGAGTTTGCACAATTTTTTTACTTGGAAGTTATTCGTATTAAATGTAATTCCTATGTAAGCAGTGAGGGAACGTATGTATGTACAATACATTTTTTAATCCTTCCGCTATCCCTCGTTAAAAGTATGCGACGCGCGGTTTGTAGTTTACAGTGCGTGAGAAGATACGACAAATTGGGATAATTATATACATAGATATACGCAGGGTGTCTCATTTTAAATGATCCACACAGATATCTCCAAAAATATGAAAGATACGGGAAAACGTTTCAAACAAAAGTGGTTTGGTTCGAAGGGGGACATAAGGTGGTGCCATTGACTTGACCTTGGATAGTCCCCCTTCGAACCAAACAACTTTTGTTTGAAACGTTTTTCCGTATCTTTCATATTTTTGGAGATATTTGCGTGGATTATTAAAAATGAGACACCCTGTATATTTATACGTCGACAAACAAAAGTAAATTAATCAATGTGTGGACTTGTTTCACAAAACCTGGACGCAACATCCCTCACCAAACCTCCTCGCGACTATGATGATCTCGTAAAAGTAGCGACTGATAATGATTGATAAGCGCAAGCTAATTTTAGTAATAGAAGTAGCGTTAAAAGTTTACGATAACTTGCTTGGCACACGGACAAACCGATTAGAGACAGAAGGTCGTATTAGTCCCCAGTAACCACGATATACATTTTCGCAGCAATAATAATTTGGAAGGCGATCACCTTGTACACATTGCGGTGGGATTTAATGCCATTTGGATTACCTTGTTCCGTTGAAGGAGCCGCGGATCCCTCATTGTGTAGCTCTGCACCTCTCGTGATAACGAGCTGGTCGAGCTCCAGCGAGAGAGCTATATGCCATACACAACACAACAATGTTGTCTCACTAACAGATATTCGCCACGTCGCTTGTGATTAGCTAGTCTTATACTTATATGTTTTTACGAGCGTAATACCAATTTGTGCGATCACACGTTGCACTTACGTTCGCAGCTTTGATACAAAAGAAACAAAAAGACAGCGTTTCAACAAACTCGGTTTCAGAAGCGTAAAAAGGCTCTCCCTCACGTCATACAACGTGAAAATCGGTATTACGGTATTCGTGTTCTCGTATACTATAAGCGTAACGTTTCAGTAAAGTAGAAAAAAAAACACTTGTTCATGCCTCGGTTACAGTGCGAGCATACAGATGATTAATGGATAACGTTTCACAGATTTACACGAAATTCATTCACGATTGCAAAAAAAAGGATGCCACCGCTACCATTCTACTTTGTTGCGCTAAATCAACGCCGAAAACGCAAGGTGAAAACATGCAGAGCAACATTGAGTTCATCTAAAGTAGCCACGTTAACAGTCGGCTTTAATTGTGAGGTGCAATGCGGCGTTTTTCCTCTCGCCAAAAAAGCCATACACTCTCCGCGAAGCGGTGGGTAAGGAGAAAGCGTGCGCGTAAAACACCAAATAATGACGTGTGAAATTAATAAAATGAATGTCCTTACTATCGGTAACAATTATTATTTGGCTACGTCATTCTGCTTCCCCGACTGCTTGCATAAAGGAACATAAAAAGAAAGGTAAGATTAAACACAGGTACATGAGAGAAGGAATTTGTAGCGAGGTGGGCAGGTCTAATCGAGTGTCACTGTCACTAGAACTGTAATATAGAAAGCGATACAAGTGTACTTTAATTAATGCTATTAATAACATTGACCGGTCTCAGCGATTGTCTCATCCGTTTATAACAAATGGGGAAATGAACTGGCACAGTGCTGGAGCAGTCTAATTCACAAATGTAAACACCTCGTGAGAAAAAGTCTACACGATCGATCTCCAATAAACGTGTGATTGCTGTACACGGAGATTACAGGTAAAAATAAGTACGATCCATTCAAGGATACCACTGCTGAGAAAAATAGACGGTATGCAAAACTAGGAAAGTGAACGTAACGTGTACAGACTGTTCGCTGCTACGAACGTGGAAGGGGTACGTACAGAAAAACATCCGTTCGTGTTAGATTGCGGTATCAAAAACACGCCGAGACAAAGGCTAAGCTGCATACCAGAAAAAATTGCAGCCACAACGCAAGGGGCAACGAATGTACCGTGTAGTATGAAATTTAAAGGAGACACATATGTGCGGAGCTGTACTGTAACGTAGAGTTCGTCGACAATACTCGTACAGCTCAACGTCTGTGAGGCCGCACGAGTTCTCGCCGCGTGGCACTTACTGGAGTGTTCTCCGCGGTGTTTCCGGACGGCGGTGTGGCTGCCGGAGTCAGGAAATCCACAGGAGCGGTTGGATCGTTAACTGTCGTGAACAAAAGGCAACGTTACTTTATAACTGCTTCTCGACCTGCGTCGATTCTCAACTGAGCCGGATCTTATGTCCAAGACCGTCTCAAATTTATCTAAAGATGCCGCACGGAACATTTCATTGGCTACGGAGTATCTTGAAACAGTCTTAAATATAAGATTCGATAGTGAATACTGGCCTAAAAACCCAACTGAGGGTTCATTTTTACTTCAACTCTCGTTTTCTCTCTCCAAGATCCGTATTTATAGTCGTAATTTTGCTGAAAAGCTCAGCTAAAACCAGTCTTGAGACATGATACTGTTTAACAGATGAATCTTGAGACTCAATTTGATATTTGTTCGCAATCTCGATTCAATAGAGGTTCTCAAAGGAAGTTTTAGAAAGTGGTTTTTGGATTTCGTATCGTCTAAGATTCGAGTCGAGAAAAATTGCGTATCGCCGCTTTAATCGACGTTTTGACTGTCAAGACGAATTTCAGGTGAGTAATCGGTCCCCTCTTTCAGCTGAACACAGTTTCGGTTGATCTTGGATCAAAATGTAACTGCTGAACCGTCCGTGTCTCAAGGCGTGAAACTCCAATCTGAGTGTCTCACCCTGATACACTCTCGAGACGAGAATTGAGAAACGACTATAAATACGGGGCTAAACATTGTGCTTTTGAACCGGAGAAAAAGCAAACTCGCACGAGTGAGCTCGAGAGGAGTTGGAAGTTTAGAACGGCTTACTTGGTGCGGGGACGAACATCTGCGGAGACGAGGTGGCCACGGGCACGAGCGGAGACGTGATCGGCGTGGGCACGTTCGACTGTGCCGCGCTACCCTTGGCCTTCCCGGCGGGATTCATTATGTCCACGTAGTTGGCACGCATACTTCTACCCCTTGGCAGTTTGAACATGTTGCTACCGATCGGCAACTTGGAGATATCCGTCGCCGGCGCGTCTTCGTCGTGTGCGGCCGGCAGAGGCGGCTGCGGGCCGCGTTCCATCGCCGGCGCGCGGAAACTCATGTCGGACGTCTTCGGCGGCGGCGCCAACGTCCCGGTGCCGCTGTCGCCGTCCTCGTCCTTGTTCATCCACTTCTTGGCGACCGGGTCCCACACGATCTGCAATCGCGAAAGACGAGCAACGTTTCTCCGCCGTTTAAGAAAAGCAAATCTAGCTAACGAGTTCAAAGGGTATTAATGGCACTCCGTTAGTCGCTAGTTAGCTCGAGCAGCTTTTTACTCAACAAATCCTGGTATTATACTGGCCTGTTCACTACCGTCCGTCTTACAAGCAATGGTCGCACAAGTAGCGTTCTATTACCAAAAGTATCCGCGCAAGCCCTTAACGACATAAAACATAAAACCGTCCGTCGTGATTTTTCAACGAGCTAGAGGAGGACGCGGCGCGGTGGTGACGAGTTCTTACCGTTGGGTTGCTATCGTCCGGCAATATCATTTGATTTTTCGGCTTGGGCGCGAGTTTACTGAACAAACCACCGAACCAGGAGCCGCCGCTGTTGGCCGATTTCTTCTCGGCCGCCTTCCTCGCGTCCCCCGCGGGCTTCGCACTCGACCGCGGTGTCTCGAGCGCGTCCAGCTCCTCCAACGGGTCGTACTGCTTACCCATCGACGGCGTCATCGAGATCATCGGCTGCGCAGGCTGAAATGAAATATACGATTGATCATCGCAAGCTTGTTCCGGCAAAGTTCATCACTATTTACTGTAACAATGCGAGTCTCGCCTATCACATGCCAATGTTAACAGTCTCGATCGCGCTCGGAACACTTGCAAAATATGCGATACTCACAAGTGTATTACAGTAAAAAATGAAAAACTTTGCTTACCATATTTATCTTAGACACGACGTCGCTCTATGATGATGTGTTCAAAGTGTACGATCGGAAAGCCGTTGGGATCAGAATCACATTAGAAGGCAGAGTGTAAGAAACGAAGAAGATAAATTATATGCGTTTGAAAAAGGACTTAGACCTTAGGCGGACACGTGATAAATTCGAGTGATTAGATTCTTCATTTTGACAAGATCAACTTTTCAATCTACGTTGATGAAGCTCTCGATCTCTCGCACGTTTCAATCGCACGGTCTCCCCCCGGGTCTAAAGTCTTTTTTCTTCGGCAGCCTGTACATGCGATAGCCTACGTCTTTGTACAATATGAATTCTGTTCTAATCTCAAGAGGTTCAAGGAAATTGAGTTATGTGACAAAACTTTATTATGCGTTTTTGATGCCAACAATAACAGTACGTCTATATACATTCGAGCGACGCTTAAAATAACATAAAAATTTTGTAAAATTACACAGTGTAATTAATATGACAAAAAGCAGGATTCTTTACGTCTCTGTTTGATCACAGCACATGGGTTTTTTTTTGTTCATTAGCATCTGGACATTTTTCATATAACATGTAAAAATTTCACTTTCAAGATAATATACAAACCGAACAATCGAGCATTTATTATAAATCTATTGTAATTCTTTCAACTTCTCTCTCCGACAATTCTACTAAATGTTAAAAAAGAATTCCTTCCGTTAACACTTGACAAGAAAATCCAGTTGTATTGTCTACCTGATTTGGAGCTACAGTCACACGTTGTCTCTGTACTTAACGCGTACAGGAAACTTGGCCACGATTGTGCGCGTTTACAGATTACTTTTTTAGTCGCATTTCGTGGGCATATCGATGTCGTAGGTCAAGGACGTATTGTCCTTCGCGGAAGTATCGTCAGTTAAGCGATTATTGTTCCTGAATCTGAGCGGTAAATCAATCGGATACGTGCCACCGAAAACCAGCGGCTTGTATCTGGACGATTCGGCGACGTTCTGCCCGGCATTGTCGTAAGACCACGCGTCCACCGTGTCGCAAATAACGTCCTTCCTGCGAATATGCGGCGCCACCCTCATGACTTTCTTCTCCTCGAAATTGCAATACTGCTTCAGGGTTTGCGCCTCGCTATTGAAGGTCGCGTAGCTCTCTTTGGCCCCGGACGACAAATCTGGCGCCAAGAGGGACTCGAGTTTCAGTTTGCTAAATTGAATGTCTAGATCCGTGGTTTGCGACGACGCGGACAGATCTCCCTCCGGCGCCGTCTCTTCCTTATCCTCGGACGGGCTCTTTTCCCTAAGCCTGCACTTTAGGAACACCGGTGGTTGCGAGCACGGCGGTTTCAGAAATATAGGATCGACGCGTCTCGGTTTTCTCACATCCTGCGGGTGCAACTTGTTGCTCGGTGGAATTTTCGGATAGCTCATGGTCATCTTGGGATATCTCCTACGAGAATTTTGTATCTTGGCGCCGAGACTATCGTCCGACGGATTGAAAAACGCAGGTACATTGCCGGGCACGTTGTTATCAAACGCGGAGGCGATACACGGACTTGACTTTACGGACACATTGCGACGACGTAACGAGCTAATACCGACGGCACGTGGCGATCCTTCGGGATCGAGAATACTATCCGAGGTAAGTCCGCAATTACTTACTTCAGGAGTCGGCGTTTTATCTTCCCTTTCCGCCTGTCGGTGAGCAAGCATCAAGAAACAGGTGGAAAAATGTTAATTGTAACGTCTCGAAGTAAATAACGTGTGAAATTATGAGTGATATTTTTCTAAACCATTCAGTATTCATAAAAAGATGAGAGATCGATAGTACTGCGAGAATCATGTGAATGTGAAGATGTAGACGTAGGACAACGTGTAACGATTGAATTTTCGTACTACAAAAATCTGCAATAAATTCATATAGCTACTTTGTAATGTACCTCGTAGCCCCATTTGTCTTGTTGCTGCGAGTTATTCACTTCAGAACCCTGGTCGGTGGTCAAGCCTGGCGCGGGCTGTGGCTGCCAATTCGACGACACAGACTCGTTTTTTCCATAATTATTCTGATAGTACGACTGCTGGCCCCAATAATCCTGTTGCTGCGGCTGCTGGTACTGAATGGATTCGTCCACGTTTCTCATGTACTGCGCGTTCGAATCGTACGTATCTTGAATATTCGTGGGCAAAGACAACGGCTGCCAATCCGATTGTCTCTCGCTCGCGTTAACTTCCATCATCGACGTAGGCCCGTCACCGTAATCGGGCTGGACGGTATTCCATTGTTGTTGCGACGACAGTGGCGGCAATGACGATTGCTGTTGCTTCATCTCGTGGACCTCCTGATTTTCCATCGTGGAGGGACCGTACGTTTCGTCTTCCGCAGTCTGCTCGTCCTACAACAAAACCCTATTTAGTTTACCTGCTCCGATCGCGCGACAGATCATATGTTTCGTAATTATATAACTACCTGATATTTGCCAACTATCTCCGCCAATTTGTTAAGCCACGCCACATTCGCAGCGTCCTCAATAGCATCTTTGTAGACTGGATCGTGATACTTTATTCGGTCGCCCAACACGTAAACCGCTTCGATGAAGGATTTCTTGTATTTCGACGGGTCGTTCGTGATATTCGTTGCAATCTGTTCGATATACAGCAGAGCCTTTTCTATCAATCCACAGTCTACCATTTTCACCGTTAGATCGAACTTGAACGTTTGAAGGTCTACTAATGTGAAGCACGGATCGCTGAGGTTTCGAGCGTATTCGTAAATCTCCGTTAACATGACAGCTTCCATGGTGAAGAATTCGGAGTACGACTTGTTATGGTTAGCGCCAATCAACACGAGTTTAATCCCGTTACTCCCGTAGGCCCCAAAATCAATTTGCGCGAGTATGTAGCAAAAATGCGCGGCATGGATGTCGCCCCTCGCGAATAACGTGTCCCCGAGGGTCGTTATTGACCGGCGATTAACTTCTGGATTGGCCGAGGTGTTGGAAATAATCATAGCCAGATGGGGCCGCCAATCGTCCCCGCGTGGATCCGTAACGCACTGCGGGAGAAGAGGGCGAATAAGCGACATGGCAAAGATGAGCGAACAATTCCTCTTCGTAAGCTAGAAGTATAACGCTTACTGTGACTATAGCAGGCACACGACCAGAATGCAGCTGGTACAGGGTCTGCAGTGGATCGTGCAGCGGCAGGCTGTTTGCGAACCGAGTCATTACAGATGCGTGCGTGCGCTTATCAAGTTTACTAGCCAGGAAGAGAGCGTGGCCCCAAAGTCCTTCGTTCATCGCGTACTCTGTTGCAGATATAAGACAAAAGGGGGAAAAAATTAACTAGTAGCATTCACAATGTTAAACGATATGCAAGAGAAAGTCGTTTTTTTATACCTAATGCTTCTTGAACCCGTCCGTAGAGTAACGTGTCTCTGAATTCGTCTGTTATTTGCTCTACGGTTTTTCGCTGCTTGGTCTCGCTCTTCTCGGACAGCGCCGAGATATCCTGGGTACTTCCGTCGCTGCCGGTCGCTCCGGATCGTTGCGATATTTGTGACTCCCTGCGCCCTACGTCCTGAGATCTGAATTTATTCGCGTCGCAAGGATAAGTATCCTTGTTGCGCAGCAAGAGCCCGGCAATATCGACGCCGACAACGTTCTGGATGAATTAGGCGATGTTAATTCATTTGTACAACGGACCTTTCAAACGTTAGCTTTCGAATAAAAAGAGACTTACTCCGTTCTGTTGAATCAACATGATCATCAGTTCGTATAGCAAGATGTACGAAGCGCGATCGACCATTTCTTCATTTACCACTGCTTTTTTAATTTTATTTTCGCAATATTCTATGATAGTCTTCTTGTGCGTTACGCCGCTGTAATAAGTTAACGTTATGTATATCACGTTTACATTGTATCGTATCTTTGTACGATTCTACCTACTTAATCAGAGGTCCTGGATATAATCGCAAGTCGCGTGCGATAGGATCATGGGAGAGTAAATTATCTACGCGGAAAATATCCACTTTCGCTCTCTCGCCGTCAGCCGGATAGCTCGGTTGAACGTGCACCAAAGACCCAATGGAAAAGCATCCTGCGCGTAAATGTTTTAACTAACTTAACAACATTTAAACATTAATAACATGTACATATATAATGCAAAATCAATCCTGAGTCATACCATATGCGTGAGACGTGGAATATTTAGCCGGTGTCAATCTAGCAGAAGTAATTATTGAATCCTCCAATAGCGACATGTCGCCCAATGTTCGTTTGTCACCAGTGGTCCTGAAAGAAATACGTTAAGTCTCTCTTCTAACAAAAGACCTTTAAAGAATTACGAAAGATATGACGAGTATTGAGAGGCACGTACAATTACATACAAAATAAGCATGTTCTACGTAAACTTTGCAACGAGTTCAGCGTAAGCAAAATTAAGCACGCATTTCTGTACATTATACGTTCGATAATCGTTGTAATATAAACTTGTTAGCAACGCTGCCCACGAATAATTCTACAGATAAATTCTATATATCTCTAGCCAACTTGTATGCCATGCGTACAAATAAAATTTTAAGATGCTAGCAGGAGACTCAATTTCTGACACGTGTCCAGCTTAGCGAGTTTCAAACCGAGAGGAGACTCCCGGTCTCACCTATTAAAATTGCGACAAGCCGTACCGCGCTCCCGCAGACTTCCGGCCCATCCGGAATACCCGAAACGTGAGATAGAGGATGCCTTATTGGGCGAGTAGAAACATGCACTTGGGATTGGAAACAATCTGATGTACAACGAACGTTAAAAAACCCAGGTAAGAAACGGCAACTGTTCAAAAACCCTTGACGCTTTTTAAATTCTTTTAAAGCCTTCGGAACACACCTATCGTCGCAGGAACTACGGCCGGAATGGACGCTGGCTCTGTCCTCCGGATAATTGCCGACGCCTCTGGCGATGTGCTGCTGCTGCTGGCTGGCGTAATATTTGTGATACCACTCGGAATAGGCGGCGGGATTCGTCCGACGTAGGTTTTCGAGATATGCATAATAATTGTTACCGTAATGAGTGCCATAATCATATCCGCTGTATCCTGCATTTGCAATTAAATTTGCGTTACTTTCACAAGGCGTATTGTTCTTTGCATTTTTTAACTGTACGCAGAGTCCCCTATTATGAGATAGCAGGTTCTCAACACCCAAATTCAATGACAAATCTTTTTTCGCAACGATTACACGATCTAACAATCAATTTTCCACTGAACAGATTTCACTTTCGAGAATTATAAATCCATGGTGGAACCAATAGATGATGCTTGTTAATTTAACAGAGACTCCCGCTATCGCATATTAGGACCCTCATAATTAGTATTTTACGTTGCAACACGTACCGTTATTGTACGCATAATAAGGATCTCTCGAACGCATGTAGTATTCACGGTCTCTGTCGTTGTAAGAAGATCTACTTGAAGGCCTAGAACTGAAAGAACACACATAAATATAATACAAAATATACAATATATTAATTAAAACAAGTCATTTCCCAGAGTCAGCGACGGAACGTCAGCAATATATTCTCAGTCGTCTAAACGTTCTCCCCAAGCCACAACAATTGTACGTTAAAAGGAAGATTTGACGAGACTGCCATGCCAAACACCTGATATTGCTGAGATGGCAAAAATCACGCATCAAAATGCTGCAGTAACAGAAATGATAGAGTAGTCTGAAAATCCGGCAGATCTTTTGCCAAAGAATTTGCCAATCAGCAGAGAATACGCGGGTAAAGCTTGGTCGCTTATCTCGGAAACGTCTTGCGTATTTAGTCATTCAGCAGACCTCCTGCCGTAAGGATCGTCGTAGTAATCCCTCCTGTACGGATCTCTGACATCGTAATCGTCGTATCTCCGAGGTCGCCTGTCGTCCCTCCTCCTGTCGCGATCTATGTACTCTCTATCCCTGGGGTCCCTGGAGTAGCGTGCGTCGTAGTCCCTCGGGTCCCGGTCCCGACGACGCGGATCATCGCCTCTGTCTCTCCTACGATCGTCCGGCCTCCTCCTGCCCTCCCTCTCGTCCACGTCCTCCTTCCCCCTGGCCCGCCTGTCCATGTCGTCCCTACCGTGCCGGTCCAGGTCGTCGCGGCTGTGATGCTTGCGCTCGTCGTCCCGGTACGGGACGTCCCGCCGCTCGAAGTCGTCGCGGGCGTTGTACGGACGATCGCTGTCGCCCGCGCGCCGGCGCTCGTAATAGTAATCGTCCTCGTACTCGCGATCGTAGTACGCGCTCTTACGCTCGTACTCGTATCGCCGGCGATCGGGACTGCCCTCTCGCCGCCTCTCCCTGCTCTCGTCCCGGCTGTTGCGCGAGCCCTCGTCCTCCTCGTCCTCGTACGAGTCCCGGCGGTTCGACAAGCCGGAGAGACCCTGGCTCTCGCTCTCCAGGGACGCGCCCACCGCCTCCTCGCGCTTGCTGCGCGACTCGCTCGCCTGATCTTGCATCGCGGCCGTCGTCGTCGGTGGGGCCTCCGGCGGGGAGCCGGTAACAACTCTACCGCCCGTCGCCCTGTCGTCCGGCAACTGTGCGACGTCGCCGGGGGACGCTCCGCCCGGTATCTGCCTGGTGTCCGCGTTGCTTTGCTGCGCGACCTCGTCGGGCTCGTTGCCGCGGCCGAGCACCTCGCGGGTCTCGCTCGGCTCCAGCATCATCTGCGACTGCTGCGGCTGGTACCGCTCCTCGCCCGACGGATCGTTCCGCGACTGCTGCGGCGGCGGCGGCGGCGGCAGAGAGCGCTCCCTGCCCGAGGGGTCGTTTCGCCGTTCCAGCGTGTCCGGATCGCCTCGTAGCAGCAGAGGAACGTTTCTCTCCTGGCCCGGAAGAACGTCGCGACGCTCCGCTCGGTCAGGACCAATGCTCCTGACCTGCATGCTCTGCTCCTGACCAGTCGGGTCGTTCCTGCGCGGATCCATGGTGCTCGACTGCCCCGGCACCTCACGCAGGAAGGGAATATCGTTAGGCACTTCGTCGTTCTCGTCGTCCTGGCTCGGTGGCGTCGGCTCGTGCTCCTGATGCGAGTCCGTCAGCTCGCCGGTCTCCAAAAATGTGTTCCTGTCATTCGACGCAAACTCGTAGTTGTCCGGCATCTGCTCCGCCAGCGGCGGATGAGGCCGCGCCTGCTGCTGCTGCTGCTGTTGCTGCTGCTGCGTCGACAGCACCTCAACGTTGTTCACCTCCTCCCTGAAGTCCCGGACGCCCGTCGTCTCCTTGGGATCGTTGTCCAGCGTCTCCTTATTTATGGAGTCCCGCGAGCCGTAGATATCGCGCTCCTTGAGCGCCGCGGGCGCGACGACCTCGACGACCTCGACGTTGACGAAGTCGGACGTTTGCTGAATGTTCTCGTAGTTCTCCACGTTCTGCTCGGGAGTGTGCCACTGCTTGGCGGCCGGGCGCGAGTGATCCTTCGCGTACCACGCGTTCTCCAGCGCGTTTCGATTGTACCACTGATCGTATCCGCTCTGCGAGACGCCGTCCGTCATCTTGGCGACGCCGCTCTGATACGCGCTCGGCGTCGGGTGATCCTGACCGACGATCGGCTGGCTGTCGACGGGGTGGGTGCTCTCCACGCCGCTCGGCGCGTAATCCGGGGGTATCACGGGCAGATTGTCGGGCAGCGAACTACCCCGGGGGCTCGCGACGCTGAAACTCGCGGAGGAATGCTGAGCTCTCGCTTCCACGCTCGAGTGCACCTCCAACGACTCGCCCAGGGGATCCGCGTGCCTGCTCGACTGAAGCCCGCCGAGGTGAAGCTGACCGAAGTTGCCGGTCAACTCCTCGGTGGACGCGGGGGCAAAGGCGCGATCGTCCTTCTCGCCGAGATGAACGCTCCTCGTAGGCTCGCTCCTCGCCGCGTCGTCGCCCGGCGCGCTCGGATTGTGCCGGTCTCCGCTCGGCGACTTGACGTCGCTCGATCTCGCGTAACCGAGCGGCTCGTGAGGCGACACGGTGCTCGCGACGGAGGCCACCGCCGTCTGCTTCTCGCTCTCCCGCTCGCTGCTGCTGCTGTTGTTGTTGGGCGTGTGTGCCGGATTGTCCCCCGCAACGTAGCCGAACGAAGCCGTGTGCATCTGCTGCCACTCGTTCGCGGCAAACCTGGCGTTGTTGTTATTGCTCTCCGCGAACGAACCGCCGTCCGCGCCCGCCGGCTGCAACCACTGCGCAGGGTGCACGGGCTCGCTCTGCACGTTGGCGCGCCTCCAGTCGGAGACGACGCCCGGCTGCGGCCAGGAGGCGAACGCGTCGTCCAGATGCGCGGGCTGTCGCTGGGACTCGCGACTTCGACCGTGCCACTGACTCGACGCGACGTTGGACCCGCTGCTCGCCTCGTTGCCGCCCTGCTGCCCGTTGGCGGGCCAGTTGACGGAATGTTCCTTGCCGACGTCGACAGGCGCGTTGTACAGCTGCGACGGTGGTGCACACTGATTGCCCATGCCGTCGAGCGCCGGCTGCTGCGACTCGTGCGGCGCGTTCTGATCCTGCCATTGGCCCAGCGCGTCGGTGTGATTCTGCCAATCGCGTGGCAAGCTCGTCGCGGCGTCGTCCTTGCTCCAGCTGTAATTATTGTGTGACGCCATCGGCGGTGGCGGATGATGCATCGCCGCCGACTGGTCCTTCTGGCTGTGCTGCGCGAGCCTCTGCTGGTTGTACGCCGCGCTCTGCGGCTGATGCTCGGCCGGCCACTGGGCGTGCTCGTACACGGACTTGGCGTTGCTCTGCCGCGGCGGCAACGGGTACTGCTGGTTTTGATTGTAGCTCGCGTAGGGCGGGAAGGAATCCGCGTAAGCCGACCCGGTCTGACGAGCGGGCTCCGACCTGGGGGTGTCTTGGCCCGACATGGAGTTCTGGTTAAGTACGTCGGACGTGTTGCCGTTTAGATTCTTGTAATAGTGATTTTGCATAGAACCGGATATCAGCTGCCCTTGATTCTGATACGAAGGTACGTAATGCTGCTGCTGCTGCTGTTGCTGCTGCTGCAGTGGTGGCGGTGGTGACTGCTGCTGCTGCTGTTGGCTATCCGACTGTGGATCCACGTTCCAGTCCCAGGGATCCTTCCACGTGTCGCTGGCGTGCTTCGATTGACTCGCAAGGGACTGCTGGGCGGCGTCGCTCGGCGGAACGTCCGCCTGAGGCCTCAGCACTGGCGTCCACATATTTTGATTGCGCACCCCGTACGCGGCCGAGTGATCCACCCGTGGCCTGGCGGGTCTGACTCGGTAAGGATTCTGAAAGCGCAGTTCAGGCTCGAGTCAGTCATTCCGCGTGCACTCGTTTACGCAGACCCGATCCTTGCATACTCACGTTCATGCTGCCTGCAGGACGGCGCCTGGTTCACGGCAATCTTCGAGATCTGCGAATCAACAAGACGAAATTGAACGCGGGGCACGTCTCCAACCTCGACGAAGCGCACACGTCAGTTTCGAGCGACTGGGGACGATCTTTCGGCACGAAGAGACCGGGTAACCGTCGGGGCGCGAGCTCGGGGAAAAAGCGTCCCGTCATCGTGACGCCGACGGGGGCCTCGGCGTGCACAGATGCGATCTACAAACGGGTCGTCAGCCGGGCGAGTCACCCTGGCGCCGGAAGATCGACAAGGGCAATTCCGTTCCCTCTTCGCGGGCGAGGTAAACGCCTCGTCTCCTCGTCGCGGGAAGACGCGGGAGCGAGGCGTTCGACAAAGGACCGATAAGAGCGTATCGCAAGACGGCTCGGTGAGGGCCGGGAGTCGCGGCACCGCCGACGCGCCTCCACGCAATTACGTAACGACGGACGTGGCAGGGCACACCTGCTCGGTCCGGGAAGCGCGGCGGGATCGCTAGGTCCGGGCGACCAGCTGTGAGAATCGTCGGGCGCGGGGGAGGGGGCCGCGAGGGGTCCTCGCTTACCTGAAGCTATCGTCGCTGCCGTCCCCGCGCGTCCGGTATGCGCATTATTGGCCCGCCGCCGCCGCCAGTCGTCCTCGCGGGTTCCCTCTTTCGTCCACGTCCTCGTCCTCGTCGCTCGACGTCGATGGCCGCGCGCGGAGGCAACGTCTCACGAGTACGCGGACATTTCGAGGATCTCGGCGTGCGCGTGAGCGAGACGGAGGGGGGAAAGGTAACGGAGCGAGAGAGACGAACGACACGACACGACACTCGGCCGAGCACGTCACGGATCCTTTCTCTCCCCCGCTCCCCGCTGGCGACTTTCCACGCGAGCGGAACCGCGACGAACGTCAAAGCCGAGGGCCGGAAGTCGAGCGCCGCCGCGGATCGCGCGCGCGAAGATGGCGGCCGCAGCGCGCCGGTTCGATTCGAACGCGCCGCACGTCGAAGGAGAGGTCCTTTCGGGGGGTCCTTTATCTCGCGCGCGCCGGCCGATCTCTCGCCGTCTCGCCCCTCTCGAGAGGCCGCCGCGAACCCCCCCCCGTTGTTCCTCGCGGCCGCGAGATTTCTTGCCACGCGACAGCGACGCGGGCCGAGTGCGCGCGCGGATTCCCAAATAGCACACTGAATTCACAAAGTATTCTTTAAGTTTCCTTTTTTCTGAATTGTAATTCTTTAGGAATTCATAGAAGAATACAATAAGAGTGACAGAGGAAGTTACATACACCATAAATCGTTTTCCTGACAACTTCTTAAAGTATTCATCTCGAATTCAATAAATGTAAACTTTACGAATTCAAGAGGAATAGTGTTAGAACAAAGAGGATTACAAAATATTTACCCAATGTATGTACACATCTAATATGCTGTAACATTACACCATTATTATAATTTCTCACTCAACAGTGAGATACTCTCAACCGAAGCTGGTTGACAATCGGATGATTCTTCCGTTTCAGTTCTCGTCGTTCGATTCTTCCGTTTCGGTTCTCGTCGTTCGATTCTTTCTTTTACACAATAGAACTATTGCACAAAATTAATTGCACATTACGCACACAAAATATTGCACGTGGTAACACGCTGCACAAGAACGTCCGGATGGCGGTTAACGGATACTCGCGCATGACAAATGATTCCTCATAAATTCTTTAAGTATTCACAGTACTGAATCGCGAAGTATTCATTATAATGAACTTTAGAAGAATACTTCAAGATGAACTGATTGAGACTAATTCTTCAAGAATTCTTCAGATATTCATTTTTCTAATTCTGTATGTTTTCTTTAAAATGAATTCTCTATGAACTTATGTTCATCTTTGTGCTATCTGGGTTGAAATTACGTCCTACTAATGGCTCCTGCCCACTGGACGCGGTAACGTTGGGTGCTTTCCAATTGCAATATCCCTATCTCAAGTTATATTTTATTTATTTAAAACGGTGTAGTAAAGACTTGGTAGATATTTTCATGTATTCGTATACTAGATGTATAAAAAATTCAAAACACTGGTACTATATTTTCTACATTTTTAGCTGTTTTATTCGTGAAGATCGGCTCTTTCCATAAGAGTACGTGTAAAATCAGTGTAAATTAAAATAGTTATATCTCAGCAACCGTTTAGTGGAGGCATTTTTACTTTTCTGCAGTACATTAGGAAGACTAAAAAAACAACTTCACAAATTTTTAGCGACTTTGTACTATTTTGACGATAGGACCGATACATCCTTAAAGATTAAATAGATACAATATTTGCTTTAGAGATTTGCATTTGTTTTAGAAACACGAACAAATCTTATACGATGTGGATGAGCAAGGCGATGGACTAAATCAACTTGTATTCGAAGATCCTTTAAATAATCAACGGGCTCCAAATAGAAGTTGTGCACCAGAGAAGCTACCATCGCCTTCATTTCCAGCATAGCAAACCGTTGGCCTATAATTTGAGGCACGTATTGTAAACTGTTTATATAACAGAATATTTTACATATATTAGGATATAAAAATATAGCTTACCGATGCAATTCCGTGGTCCAGCACTGAACGGTAAATACGAATAAGGATGACGATTTCGGATGTTTTCAGGCAAAAATCTATCAGGATCGAATACATCTGGATTTGGCCAAAAGTTGGGATCTCTGTGGACTCCGTAAATATTGAGATGCAAGTATGTCCCAGCAGGTACTAAATATGATTCTAAAAAGCATATTATATATTAAGGTTTAAAAATAATAAATTGTAAAACTGAATTAAAATTTTCAAACTCAATATGGGCAATATGAAACTTCTTTTTTTTAATAACTCTTTAATGAACAATGAGCAACGGTATATGTCAATGGCCTTGACCTCCTTAGAGGTCATTTGGTGGGAGGTGACTTATAATAAAAATTTCTTTTCAATGAAATTTTAAATACATGTGTTAAATACATACGTAATTTTACATCTTCTGCAGGAACTCGTGATAGCATGGTTACACTGGGATATAAGCGCAATGTTTCTTTTATACATCTATCTAAATATGATAAATCTTGCAGTAATTTCATAGTAAACTTCTCTCCATTCTTTCGCAAAGCAGTGTCAACTTCGTCCCTGACACGATCCTGTATTATTATTGTTAATTAAAAAGCTATTATTTGTTATAGTACTATTTTTATATACAACGGCCACTTGTAAAGTTGTCGGAATTAAGTACGAGTGACAATTGCACAGACATCATAAGATCCGTAATATGGTAATATGGCCATACAAAGGTTTGAAAAATCTCCAGGTTCTATTTTTTAAAATTTATTTCCAAGATAATATTATATTTTTTCGACTTTTGGTGATTAAGAAAAGAATACAAACAAATTTTAAAAATTTCATAAAATAGTACCTGGAGATTATTTGAAACCTCGGCATGGCCATATCATCATAAGGGATCTTATAAAATGTATTTAAAACGTAATACAGGATATTTGAAATATGTTCGTGACCATGTCGCGTAAGTATGCGTGAACGTGTACATACATACATAAATAAAAAGTAGAATTAAAACTGTTTTAACAGTTAAAACAGTTTTAATTCTGCTTGTTATTTACATATTTTCATATTTCTGTGTGTCGCGCGCGTCTTGATCATTATCGACCCAACGGTAAATTACATCGATAAATTAGAACTACTACTATGACCCAGCGAATCGTTGCTCCTTAGTGTACATACGTATGTACATACATATACATAAAAAAGACATGTTAAAAGGTTAATATATAATAGATAAATCTTTAATAACTCTTGGAATAAATTAATTTCTTTCGAAGAATAGCGACTTACACTTTACCCTAGCAAATACAGATTAGGTATAGCTGCTACATTTATGTTATATTTATGTCAAGTACGTGGTAAATTTATTTATTGGGATAATAGATACCTGAATGTCCTTATGCTCAGCTAAGAGTGCTGAAATATAACATAGACCCATCGCTGTAGTATCATGACCCTATAATTATATACAGACATATACATATACAGATTTATGTATACATATACGTCAACGTACTATTACATGTGTATGTATATCGTTATATAAAACAATGTTTAAACAGAATTAGAAGCGAAATTACAAATATATACCTCAAACATAAAAGTATCGACTTCCTCCCTGATATCTGCATCAGTCATAAGACCATTACGAGATGCTGCTATTAGAAGATCCAACATTGCAAGTCGTTTTCTTCGTACTAAACCAAAATATGTAAGCATGTCAATTCAATAACCCAATTATTCTGTGACGTTTTTATTACATAATATTGAATACATTAAGGATTTAAACTAAATTTAGTGTTTATAAATCATATAATATTATTAAAATATAATTTAGTATTAAACACTAGGGTACCTGTCACGGAAATATTTGGAATGGATCGGAATTATTCCGTTTCCCCTAGCAAAACGCAATAGAAATCTATGAAATAATTGAACAATTCCTATTAGAATCAATTCCGAACATTTCCATGATAGATACCCGGATTTAAACAATAGTTGTGGTCTAGTTTACACTGTGTTTTGTTCGCGCAATCTGATCTGTCGACTGATCTCTTTCACAAGGTCGTATCTCGATTTTATGCAATTTCTGGTTTTGTGCTTAAACGCTCATTCTGGTCCAGAATACTCAGAATCACTTTTGAAATGACATTGTTTGGATAGGATAAAGTACAATGGCTTTTAGAATGCGAAAAATTACACTTAACAGATTAGATGATATTCTCAAAGATGAATTAGAATTGAAACTGCTTTCTTAAAATATTCCAAAATGTTGTGAAGGCTCCCAAAAAGAAATTATGTAGAAAGGGAAGAGTGCTAATGTGAGCCACAAATGAACGGAAAACGGTTCTCACAATTTAGAAACAAAATATCTCTTTAATATAAACGTTTCGACCCTGTTTCGGGTCTTCCTCAGTACAACGAGAGTATATTTAGTAATTATTTAAAAAGATTTTTGTTGATGTATGCGTGAGAGAGAAAGACTCGACACGATGTCAGCAGAGTGAGAGGGGAAATAGGCAAGCGACTGTTTTTCCGTTTTTCTTCTGCGGGGACGATCGTCCTAAACAAAAGACTGCGCATCGCGCGATTCCTGCGCAGCGATGCAAACTTTGGGTTCTGAGCACCATCAAAGTGTAAAGCCTTGTGTCCACGATTCAAGAGCTGTGTGCAAGTTCTTGGATCGTGGACACAAGGCTTTAGGGCCGGGGCACACAAATGGCCTTAAGCAATAAGACGTAAGCAGTAAACGAATTGACCAATCATAGTCGAGAATTATGGCAGCCATATTATATATTCTCGACTATGATTGGTCAATTCGTTTATTGCTTACGTCTTATTGCTTAAGGCCGTTTGTGTGCCACGGCCCTTACACTCGGTGCTCACTCACACAACAGAAATTCTAAATGTTAAGCGTCGTCTACTAGGGAAAACGGAATTATTCCAATTGGAATCCATTCCGAACATTTCCACGATAGGTATGTATGTACCCTGATTGGAGCCAGATTGAGTCGTTTATCAATTGTTTACACCACCATATTGTGAATAGGTCGAACATAGGCCAAATAAGAGGATATCCCTGACGGAAAAACACTCAAGTTTTGAGTATTAACACTCAATTATCCGAATTTACTGTCAAATTTGGGCGTAAACACCCAGATTTAAATATTTACACCCAAATTTGAGAATAAATTCGGATAATCAAGTGTTAACACTTAAAACTTGAGTGTTTTTTCCGTAAAGGATAGACGCACTTAAACGTACGGCATAAACTAGGCCAATAATTGCATTACGTACTTCCTATCGATTCTGTGTCACTTCCCTCCTCTGTTGTGTCATTACCAGAACTTTGTAAATATCGTCCGTTAGTGCGATCATGATAAAGTTTTCTTTCAGCAATAATCTATGTAAAAACAATATTAATATCTCTAAGTGTCGTGACAGGGTATTAAAAAATGTCTAAATATTTCATTTCTTCAATTTTATTGCGAAAAATATTACCTTATGCAGCCAGGGTTTGAACCTGGACCTCCGCTTAGAGTATAGAGAGGTCCAGGTTCAAACCTACCTGGCAGAGGTAATATTTTTCGCAATAAATTTAAAGATATGAAATATTTAGACATTTTTTAACACCCTGTCACGGCCCTTCGTCCTTTATTCCTTTAAATTTGTGTTTATCACATTTGAGCCATACAAATTTTATTACTATTTCTTTTATGTTGTATATGTGCTATTCATTAACAACGTGTTGTCAACATTTATGAATTGTCACATTGTTTCTGTGCTATAATCATAAAATCCTTATTGTAATTTTTATATTTAGAAAGTTGATAATGTCTAAATATAATATTAAGTAGCATTTTCACGTACTCGTTCAGTAAATCCATGTAATATTTTCAGAATCTTTTTTTGCTCTCTGCCCTTTGACGTCAACAGGAATAACCATTCGTTGTGCAGCCATTGCCTTAGTACTCTAATTGTAAGTTATAGTTAGTGCATGTTAAGTATATATATACAATATATACAGGGTGGACCATTTTAATCCATTCAGTCGAATATCTCGAAAACCAAGCCCGGGAGAGAAAAAAGTTTCAGACAAAAGTTGTTTGGTTTCGAGGGGGCCATAAGATGGTACCATTGGTTTGACTTTGAAGAATTATTTGAAGGTCAAATAAAGGTCACACTAATCTTCTTAAATGGCATCCCCTATTTTTTATTACATATTCTTGTAGCTGACCTCGAGAGCTTTCCAAAACGCTATAATAAAGTATTTTTTTATTAAGAACTTTTTGAGTTATTAATATTTGAAAGTTCTAATATTTTGACATAAATTACAAAATATCTTGTAAAATATTCATTTTTTATCATCTTACCTTAATACTTGTTTGAACAGAATAATGATACAAATCAACCGGTGTAAAGAAAACACAATTTTCAAGTAATAAAAAAATTTTTTTTAACAATTGTGTTTTCTTTACACTGGTTGATTTGTCTCATTATTCTGTTAAAAAAAGTATTAAGGTAAGATGATAAAAAAATGAATATTTTACAAGATATTTTGTAATTTATATCAAAATATTGGAACTTTCAAACCTCAATAACTCAAAAAGTTCTTAATAAAAAATACTTTATAGCGTTTTGAGGTTGGAGTTTGGAAGAAATTGAAAAAATGAAGAAAAAGGTGAGATAAGGGGAGAAGAAGTGGTGAGAAGAGAGAAGGTATAGGACAAGAAAAGCAAAGATGGGAAAGAATAAGGGCCTCAAAATCTAATGTCTGGTACAAGAGGATAAAGGAAAGAGGATTACCAGAGTATCTGAAGAAAGGGTGGGGAGAGGAAAGGTGGCAGAGAGTAGCGAGGTTTAGATTGGGGGAGGAAATGAGAGGAGGGAAATACTGGGTGAGGGAGGAAAGGAGGAAATGCGGAGTATGCGGATGGGGGGAAGAGACATGGGAGCACGTATGGGAGGAATGTACAGATTGGGGGAGAGAGAAAGGGTGGCAGGAGATGGTAGATGAGGTGCTTGGAGAGGGAGGAGAGGGGGAGGAGTGGATGAAGAGGGTGAAGGAATGGAGGAGGGAAGGGAGAGGGGAGGAAGAAGAGGAGAGGGTAGAGAGAATGAGGAATGCGGCGGAAGCGGAGGTCCAAAGAGGAATGAATGGAGATGGATGGAAGGATGAATGAAGAAGGATGTCTCTCTCTCTCTCTCGAAGGCGAGCGAAATGTAAAAAGTTTGTAAACGGAGCGGAGGTCCGTAGTTTGTATCCCGCAGGGTCAATAAACATATTTATCTACCTATATAAAATTCCTTTCAATGTTTCTGCAAACTCTTACAATTAGTAAAATTTTTTTAAAAACATTAATAAAGCAATGCTAAAACCACACATAGAATTTTATATAGTATAAATATTATATCTTTTTAACTGTTTACTCTTACAATTAAATTAAAGATCTATCTGTCATTACATTTAATTGAATATTTTTGTTTCTGGTAATTATTTAGATTAACATACCCTCCTCCAATAAACTTGGGTTTAACATATATTATAGAGGTCACCCTCCTGAGTGACCTGCAAAAGGTTTTATATTGCGAACGTTGTTTGTTAAAAAGTTTTTACAAAACAATGTCGATAAATTATATAATATGTAATTATATGTAATATATCACTAAATATTGAAAATTTTGAAAACTTTTTTATCAAAAGTTGTACATAGATCTCTTCGAAATATGCATTCTATGATAAATTTTATCATAAAATACATATTTCGAAGAGATCTACATCGATGAAAATGTTTCAAACAAAAGTTGCATTTTATGATTAAATGTATATTCTAAAGAGATCTACAATTTTTGTTTAAAAAATTTTTCAAAATGTTTAATATTTGGTGAGATATTACATATGTATAATTACATATAACTCATCGACATTGTTTTATAAAAAAAAAGTTGGACAAACGCAGAATTAGATAAAGCTCTGTACTAGTACTGTACATTTTATTGATTCCCCTTAGGGTTACAAGGCGTTTTTGAAGGAACGTGCCCAAACCTCTTATAACACCTCTCTCTATATCCACTTTGCTATGTGGCGATCGAACGAAAAAACAACAACGTTTTTGTTTGGTTTTGAACCCGGATCTTCGGATTACCAGACCAGCGCACAATCCTCTGCGCCACGAACGCCACGATATTCATATGTTTTATAAATACCTATCTTTTTAACAAACAATGTCCGTAGGCTAAAACCTTTAGCATGTCACTCAGGAGGGTTACCTATATCAAGCCTAAGGTTTTTGGAGGGAGGTATGTTAATCTTAATAATTACCAACAGATTTCATATGTGTGTTTCATAAATTACCTATAATACATAAGTTCGCCTATCCGATAAACCGCTTTTCGATATTGATGTTGAAACTCACCCAGGTCTTGTAAAGAAGTACCCATAGCAGTTTCTGCAAATGCACTTGTGAAAGTATCACTATAATATCATCACATATTTAAAATATACTTGTGATTGTAAACATCATTTATAAATCAATACGTTGTGATATAAAACTTTTTAATAAAAACTTGTATTGTTTCTTATGTTATTCGTTAATGGGAATAAAATTCTCTAGTTATATACACAATATCATACCACATATTGCATTCAGCGTATGTTCACTAAAAAACGGCACTAAATCTTTCACAACTGCGCCTTCTGTATTTTTCAAAGACTTGACCATATTTTCGCTTTCCTCAATAAAAATCTCAACAAACTGCTGCAATATATTAAAATGAAATGTAGGAGTTAATATCTTCCGTCGTGAATGCCATTTTGAACCTAAAACATAAGGCAATATTAGGCATAATTATGAGGTTACAATTTAAAACACATATTGTAATAAAATTTATATTTCTTTCAACGAAGAAAGAAGTTACTTATAATCACCAGTGATGATTAAGAAATTGTATTTTTTTATTTAATTTTAAATTGATAAATTTTTAATAATCATTGATTACACTTCCAATTTATTCTTTCTTTGTTTGCATTTAAACTTTGAGAATAACACGTTATATGGTTTAAATTACAAAAAGAAATTCTTTATAATACATTTTCAGTATTTTTTCATAATATTTAATGTGTTTAGCATTTCTTGACTTAATTTATAACATTTACTAAATTTCCACTAATTTTTTTCATGATCAATAGAAATATTATAATTCTTTATATTAATCTAATAGCTATTAATATATTATTTTGAGTAAAGATAATTGATTGGAAAAAATTAAGTAAAGTGTGTTTAAAAGAAGATTCACTTATGTGTTAATGTTCGACCAATTCAATATAATTGAGAATATGAGTATATCTGATCAAAATCATTTATCAAAGTGCACTTTACGCGTTCACATTCATATCAAAGTTTCACACTCTTATTACTATAATATACAGGGTGTCCGAAAAATTGCCTACTCCACTTCGGGAGGTGATTCGGGACCCACAAATAAGCAAAAAAGTTCATACAAACGTAGGTCCAGAAATGAGCCGTTTCCAAGTTATAGCATACTTTTATGTTCAAAAATCGTAATTTAGAATCCGCTTGGCATCCCTCTTTCTTAATTATTTCTTAAACTAAAAACAAAATAACGAAAAGAAGGGGCTCTAAGCCGTGACAGGATGTTAGTGTCGAATAAAATTTTATTGTTAGATTAACATAAGTAATAATTAAACGTTTCGGTCGTAAAATCGACCATCTTCAGTAATATAAAACATTGACAACGATTAACCCTGATCGTACGGGTATTACATTGAAATGCGCATGACTTATACAATTGGTATCACTTACCGGTTTGTTTCTAAACTAATATGTTCCTTATTTTTAAACAGATCACAATAAGGGCAACAGAAATATTCAAAATCTGAAAAATTCTCTTTAAAGTAGAGATTTATAGCTTTAAAATAAAAAAATTTCAAGTGCAATAAGTTTTCGTGAAGTTACGAGTATAATTTAAAGTTGAGTGAAATTTTAGTACAAAGTTTTGTTGCGTTAATTTTGTTGCGCAGTTTATAATGGCGCTACTTACTACCTTGAAATGTCGATTCACCTTGCAATGATGTCGTTTAATATTAACAGTGAATGACTGAAATCACAGTACAATACTAATATAGCATAAAGGTACATAAACGAGTGGTTGTAAGCAGATTACCTTCACTTGACCTATTTTTTCTAACTTCTGCGGCATAAATGCTCGCGTGACATAAATACCGGAGTTACCCTTATACCTATAGAAGCGCAAAAAATTGTTATTTTTTACGACTTTTTTCTTGTTAGATTAAAAGTAATAGGATTACCGAAGCTGGGTTTTGACAGTATATTATATATTTCTAAAAAAGTTCTTGAAAATAGGATTATTTTTGGCGCTTCTAGGTGTACGTATTCCTCGATGTTATATCATTATGTTACCTCCACTAGTGAGAAGACCGGTATTTAACCAAGGCTGTAAAGCTTCATACATCCTACTCTTTTCGATGTGTTTTGTGCTGCCTAATATTGTCTGAAATTCAGAATTTGGAACATTACATGAAAGAAGTAATACGTTACCGTTACGTTTCGCGTAAAGCACCACGCTTAATCAGGCGGGACCCGATTGGTGTGGGGTGGATTTCGCTTCGCGTGGAAGAAATATATTTTTGAAAATAAGAAAACAAAGAAAAAGCTATAAACATTTATCGCAAATATTTCACTAATAAAATAAAATATGATAAAATTCTTTCCATATTTCATTACCTCGAAATCATCCGGATGACGAATGGATATCAGGGGCATAGAAAATGCCCATATTTTAACAATGGGGTAGTACTGGTCAGGTATAGTAACCAGAAGCTTCCATATTTCCACTAAAAATGTACGTATACGTTTATTACGTAAACGTATATACGTTTATTTTGTAAATTAGCAATGATATTATAAGTATTGTTCGAAAAATATATTGATTTATCATTATACCTAATAAGTATGTTTGTTTGATTGTTCCTGAATAATCAGAAAATAAACTTTGTCCGTTCAAAATATCTATAGGCTTAATTTCTAAAAGTAATTAATATTCAGTAATATCGAAAATTATATCTCAGAAAGCAATGTTTGCAAATATTACATTTACAAACTTGTGTGCAGAAATAAGTACGAATATTAATTATACAATATGTATAATATGCGTCTGCTGGCTTTTAGAAGTCTATTGTACATACATATACATAGGAATTTCGTGAAAATAGAACAATAGGACATAGTGCAAACATTTTAATGGAAAAGATAAAAATAATGTATAATAATATTTCTGTTATAATATATGTATAATCGCGCTATAATAATAGCGATCAATAATATTGCATACATTTTAACCTTCTACACTTGAATATGGAACAAAAAACACAACAAAATTAAAAATTGTAATATTTAAACTTATGGCAAATCTGTTAAGGAAACGTGTATGAAGTGTCGTTGAGCCCGGTATTGTCGCCGCGTTCATAACGGTCAAGCTAGCAGTGGTTGTAATACTATTCCTACATGCTATAAATCTTTTTTTAACATTTTAAATACAATATTTGTAAAACTGCTAAATCATACTGTTTTTATTCAAAAATTTTGCAGATTATCGGCCAATTTCACAAACGTTGGTTAACTGCTAACCGAATGTTAATTGGTTCTCTGGCTTTTCTTAATAACAAAATAGATAAAGATAGGGAGTTGACTGAACTCTGGTTAAGTGAAATTGACCATAAGCGGTGGAACGGCAAAGTGGTAAAGTTTGATGATGACAGTATAATATAATGCAAACTAAAAACAAATTTAAAAAGATAAAACCATGTATGCACACATATATGTATACACATGTGTAGTATTCGCGTTGAAAGTGATTTTGTGCAAAATTTTAAATCAATACTTACGCAATGATAGTTCATTTCTACTTTTCATTTCATGGAGGTTGCCGTTCGGATTTTGCACATCGTGTGGCCCTGAAGAGGGCCAGTGGTGTATTCATATCGAACATACTGGGATATGATGGGAAGAAGGCTGCGTGACTTGTAGGACCACACGATGTGCAAAATCCGAACGGCAACCTCCGTGCACATTGGGTTACGCTGATGTCGACGGTAATGAACGAAAATACAAGGGTTACTTCAAAAAGCTGTAACTTGGCGAAAAAAAATCGCTGTAACTTCTTTTTTTTTAATTGAAGGGAAAAGTACACACTTTTTGATACTTCGAGCAGAATTAGCGAGGAAAACTTTCCTACGCCCGGGCACCTGGCCAAAGTTGATTAGTTTTTAGGTAAAAACATGTCCTT